GGACACCCCGCTGTTTCACACCATCAAAAAGTGGACACCTCCCAAAGTCCAAGACTGTACCTTGCTGGTAACAGCTTAACTAAGTGGTGAGAGTTTGTCCAAACGTCAGAGCACTCCCTTTGTGCTTGAAATTACTGACTGTTGGAGGCTGCTTGGCAACAGATTTAGTGTTTTCAGGGATGTTTCCCTGATTTTGAGTACAGTTTGTAAGCCCTTGGCTATGTGCACGCGTTGTATGGACCGCTGGACATTTTAATTATCTGGCCCTGTGAGTTGCTGATTTCGACCTATTTTTAAAGATCCTTTCCTTCTCATTGGAACTGGAGGCCGAACCTGCAGAGGTCTCAGGGCTGTCCTTCCATCTGAAGGTGCTCACAACGTTGTGAGCAGCAGGCTGCAGAGCAGGCTTGTTTTAGGGAGAAAGCTGGGGAAGGATCTCAGAACTGGGCAGCCTGAAGCACTCATGTGAGTCCGTAAGCTCACCCCCACCTTCTTTCTTCAACAGCTTTCTTCCTCTTAAGTGTCACCAGGCTCTTGCCAGAGTGATGCCATGGGATGGACAATGTCATTCACAGCCCTGCTCTATTTATAGGGTATTTCAGCAACCCTTCCTGGAGCTTCTGTTTCCTGGTTGAAAAGAGCTTTCACACTGCGTTGTCTCCTCTCTTTTTTCCGCCAGCAGAAAAAAGGAAGGAGTTTCTCCTTGAAACTTTCCTTTCTCCTTCTCTTGAGAGACCACGGCTCTCGTCCCTCGGGTTTAGGAAAGGGGTCCCGGGAGGTGGGGGCTGTGGATGAGACACCCCCTACCAGTGGGCACGTCTGCTGGGCTGCTCCTCTTGCCTTGCCTTCAGAGACCAGGGGAGATGGCTAGTGAAAACTAGGAAGAGATGAGGCAAAAACGGGTCTAGAAGGCACAACCCTGTAGGAAATTGAGGTAGAAGCAAGAATTAGGGTGGAAATGGGCTGTGCAGATGCGGCACCTTGTCTCGGCTGAGCCCCGGCAGCAATCGCCCGTCTGGAAGTGTTGGCAATTCTGCGGTGCAGAGGTGGCCCCGTGCTATCATTTGGGAGTTGAAAAGGTGTTTTTTTTGATACAGGCCAGATGTGACTCCAAGAAACTGCAACACAGAGTTCCCCGACATGAGAAATACCACGTTAGAATAACACTCCCGGTGTTACTTTTAAATTACCATCTTTGGTAGCCCTTCCTCTCTGCTTCCCCACCTTTGCTTTCCCCTTTCCCTTTCTCCTTCCCAACATCCCAGCTGTGGTTTTGGTGTTAGCTTTTCTTCTGTCATGCCGTTTGTGCGGTACGGTGTTTATTTTTTCAAAGGGGAAGGAGGATTTAATAACATTCAGCTGATCACAGAAACAGCTTTGCTTTAAAAGCTCATTAGCTAGGGCTTGTCTCCTTGGGTTGTTGCTTTGGGTGACACGCCTGTCACACTGACAGAAAATCATACATATCCCCGTGTGTGTTTATGGTATCTCTGACTCTCCTGGTAGGAGGCAGTGCTGATAAAGGGCTTGAAGTAAAGCTTTGCCTGCACCAGTGAATGCTCATTTTCTGGTTGGTTTTATATATATAGCAGGCTGAGGGAGCTGGGATTGTTCAGCCTGGAGAAGAGAAGGCTCCGGGGAGACCTTATAGCGGCCTTTCAATACCTGAAGGGTGCCTATAGAAGAGCTGGAGAGGGACTCTTTGCCCGGAGGTGTAGTGATAGGACAAGGGGAAAAGGTTTTAAATTGGAAGAAAAAAGATTCAGATTAGATCTCAGGAAGAAATGTTTTACTATGAGGGTGCTGAGAGCCTGGCCCAGGTTGCCCAGGGAAGTTGTGGCTGCCCCATCCCTGGAAGTGTTCAAGGCCAGGCTGGATGGGGCCTTGAGCAACCTGGTCTGGTGGGAGGTGTCCCTGCCCATGGCAGGGGGGTTGGAACTCAATGATCTTTGAGGTCCCTTCCAACCCAAACCATTCTATGATTCTATAAGTGATCCTCAACCAGAGCAGGCTGGCAATGCCTGGGCCATGGACATTGGAAGTTGGACGTCATTGTCAGCATTGGCCAAAAGCAGCAGCAGGAATGCACAGGTTCCAGACACACTGTGAGCTCTTACTGGTTTCTGTGAAAACGGGTAACTGGCAAGAGGGTAGCGTGCTCCTGTGGAGGAGAAGGCAGGCTGGCTGGTGGGTCAGCCCCTGCCTGGTGCTGGATCCCTGCCTCTTGCCAAATATCCCAGTGGGACGAGCTGGGAACGATGCAGGGACTGTGGGAAGCTGGAGCTCGAGTGGCTGTGGTGGGGCTGACAGCTACTGTGGTGTGTTCTGCTGCTCACAAAGCAGCTTTCTCTTATAAAATACACTCACAGAATCACATGGGGTTGGAAGGGACCTCCGGAGATCATCTAGTCCAACCCCCTGCCAGAGCAGGACCACCCAGAGCAGGTCCCACAGGAACGTGTCTAGTCGGGTTTGAATGTCTCCAGAGAAGGAGACTCCACCACCTCCCTGGGCAGCCTCTTCCAGGGCTCTGCCACCCTCACAGGAAAGAAGTTCCTCCTCGGGTTTAGGTGGAACTTCTTCTCTTCAAGTTTGTGCCCATTTCCTCTTGTCCTGTCCCTGGGCACCACTGAAAAAAGACCATCCCCAAAGTCCACACTCGTGGAGTAAAGCTATAAACGGCATTGTTTGCTCAGTTATTCAGAAGTTCATCCAGGCTTGCCTTACAATAATGAGATTAGGTTGAAATTTGTAGAATTAAAAATAGTAGAAATTGAATTCTTTTGAGTTACTCTTTTTTTTTTTAATTCCTTTTTTCAGATGCCCCAAGATGTGTCACTTAAGTTTATTCTGCAAGTACAAAACACAGAAACTTACTGAAATTCCCAATCTAATTAGGTGTCTTTAGAAATTGGGGTTTTAAGCAGAACACCAAAGGTGGAAAAACTTGTGGTAAAACCACAGGAGAGCTTGCAGTCGGTGTTTAGCAAGAAAATAAAAATAAGGGGATGGAAAAGAAGGTGCTGTGCACGTGGAGGTGTGAAGCCAGATAGGGCTCTCTCTGGTGGCTCTGCAGGCTGGATTCTGCCAGCAGCTTCCCCGTTCCTCACCTTCACCCCTCTTCCCAGGTTATCTGCTCTCTCTTCATCCTTCCTCCCCTTGTCCCTGCTGCCTTGGCAGCTCTTGTCCCCTGTGGTTAATCTGCAGTCCTCTGCTGCGTGAGGATTTGAGGGATTAGGGTAAGAGCGAGTCTACTTGCTCAACCCCCCTGTGAAGGGGCTCCAGGAAAGCTGGGGATGGACTCTTGACCAGGGCGAGGAGCCATAGGATGAGGGGGAAGGGCTTTTAATGGAAAGAGGGGAGATTTAGATCCAGATATAGGGTCACATATTTATGTTTAGGTGGCACTTTCTATAGAGTAACTTTTGGGATGTCTGACACTGCTTGGAGTCATGAATGGATCATCTCTGGATTAAGAGCAGCCCTGAGGAGAAGGACTTGGGGGTGTTGGTGGACGAGAAGTTCAACATGAACTAGCAACGTGCCCTGGGCTGCATCCCCAGCAGCGTGGCCAGCAGGGCCAGGGGGGGATTCTGCCCCTCTGCTCCGCTCTGGGGAGACACCCCCCCAGTGCTGCCTCCAGCTCTGGGGCCACCACCAGCAGAAGGACATGGAGCTGTTGGAGCGGGGCCAGAGGAGGCCGCGGAGATGCTGGGAGGGCTGGAGCCCCTCTGCTGGGAGGGGGGGGTTAGAGAGAGTTGGGGGGGTTCAGCCTGGAGAAGAGAAGGCTCCGGGGAGACCTTAGAGCCCCTTCCAGTCCCTCAAGGGGCTCCAGGAAAGCTGGTTGGAAGGGACCTCTGGAGATCATCTACTCCAACCCCCTGCCAGAGTAGGTCCACCCAGAGCAGGTTGCACAGGAATGTGTCCAGGTGGGTTTGAATGTCTCCAGAGAAGGAGACTCCACCACCTCCCTGGCAGCCTCTTCCAGGGCTCTGCCACCCTCACAGCAAAGAAGTTCCTCCTCATGTTTAGGTGGAACTTCTTATGTTCTATGTTCTGGATCAGGGAGGGGAGCCCTAGGAGGAGGGGGAAGGGTTTGACACTGCAAGAGGGGAGATGGAGCTGAGCTGTGGGGAAGAACTTGTTTGGTGTGAGGGTGGTGAGAGCCTGGCCCAGGTTGTCCCGAGAAGCTGTGGCTGCCCCATCCCTGGAGGGGTTCAAGGCCAGGTTGGAGGGGGCTTGGAGCAACCTCGTCTGGTGGGAGTTGTCCCTCTGCTCACCTCTGTCTTACAGCAGCAGCAAGTGGATTCAGTTAAGCTGGGAAAAAATATTCTGAAACAGAAATGCTCACACATAGTGTTTTTTGGGACTAGGTATTAAAATGTAAATATTTACAGACCAAATTCATATGCAAAAGTGGAGAAGTTCTCAGTCTGTTTTAGTGTGAATTTATCGTTTTCTTTCCTAGGTGTACGTACCCCAGCATATTAATTCTTAAGAATGTAAATGTTTTAGAAGCATTTAATCTGTGTTGTGAATCATTGGTTTGTGTGGGTCTTTTTCTTAAAAATATCTTTGTGTTCTATTGAGGTCTAAATGTGGTTAAGCCTGCATTCTGTGTGTTTTTTAAATAAAATCATTCCCTCATCCCAGACAAAATAAATCTCAGCTTCATACCCAAGCTCTGCCCTGACTCCCTTGATTTTTGCCAGGCTCTGAGTGTCCGTACCTGTGCTACGTACTTAAAAATCCCAGAATTTAGGACCTTGTGAGGAACAGCTTTAGTTCGATGGGAAAAAAAAAAGCCTGCTGGTGGTGTGAGTTTCCTTCCTCTCCTTCTTAGTGATGCCCTTTCTAGTGTTCTGTAGAGTTCCAGGTTTAAGAACGCAGCCTTTTTGGAGTCAGTGGGGTGTTAATTCTGCCTACACGGGCTGGGTCCTGTGGGACTTGTCAGCGCTTTTATAATGGATTTAAGACAACTGCTTCTTTCCTTCCTTTAGGCTCACAGCTGGCAGCCCGGGATCAAGAATCCCTACCGTGGGGTGGTGGTGTGGCCCGTCCCTGAAAACGTTGAAATTACTGTCACGCTCTTTAAGGTATGTTGGGTTTTTATGTTTGTTTTTTTTAAAGCATAATCTTTTTTATTTCCTAAACAGCGTATGAAAAATTCCAGTTGGAAACATCAGATTATTATGACAAGGTCTAATCTGGCTGGGTTTAAATCATTAACTGCACAACCTTATGTCCCCAGCTTAAATCTGGGAGAGAAGGATGGGCTGTTCCCTGCCAGAGCTCGCTTTTGTAGCTTAGTTAACGCGCCGAAATATCCCCTTGAGCTGATTATGGTGAGCCATCGGCACAGAATTCAGTACGTGTGTAACCACACACGTAGTGCTGGGGGGGGCTGGCCATGGGTTAGAGTCTGGTTGGTTTTCTTTAAATGCTGTGAGCCAGAAGTTGTCAAAACTCAAGCCATTTCTAGGCTTCCTGGTTCAGCTGCAGCTCAGTGACCCTATTACTTACACCATTGATGACCAAACAGAACCCAGCTCTTAATTTTGAGTTATTTAGTGACCTACACAAACATCACAACGCTTACATGATCGCAGTCGTAGGAGTGGGTACAGAATCCCATGGGGTTGGAAGGGACCTCTGGAGATCATCTAGTCCAACCCCCTGCCAGAGCAGGTCCACCCAGAGCAGGTTGCACAGGAATGTGTCCAGGTGGGTTTGAATGTCTCCAGAGAAGGAGACTCCACCACCTCCCTGGGCAGCCTCTGCCAGGGCTCTGCCACCCTCACAGCAAAGAAGTTCCTCCTCAGGTTTAGGTGGAACTTCTTATGTACAAGTTTGTGCCCATTTCCTCTTGTCCTGTCCCTGGGCACCCCTGAAAAAAAGAAGTATTTATAAGCATTGATCAGATCCCCCCTCAGCCTTCTCTTCTCCAGACTAAAAAGACCCAAGTCCCTCAGCCGCTCCTCAGAAGAGAGATGCTCCAGGCCCCTCAGCATCCAACACGGAGTATCTGAGTAGTGCAGAGAATTACAAGATCATTTTTTTTCAGGAACTGGATTTGTTCTGTTAAAAAATAAGTTTGTTTGTGTGGCTGCAAAGCAGGAGGAGAAATTGATGGTTGGATGGTTGTGGTAGAACTTATTTCCCAAGTGTCATCGGGCAAAGCTCTTTTGACATAAAGATAAACCGTGCAGCTTTGCACGTGGGACCGTGCAGGAGACCGCTCAGGAGGCTGAGGATTCGGGGATTTTCATTCCATTAGTTCTTTCTTGTTCTTTATGGGATGTCTCCAGCTACACTCCACTTGGTCTTATTTATAATAACTCCCTTTACAGCTTAGGGCAAGAGTAAGATACTTCTTTCTAATTAGTCATATTTGTTTTTCTTTGTCTTGGGGACTTCCCTGAATAACTGCTTAGAAGTGGCTTCTGGTTTGCCTTAGAATGTGAATTTATTACTTGGTTCATTAAGCCTAAAAAGGGGGTTTCTCTCTTTTTTTTTCTTTTTGTCCTTGGGATCACTAGTGAACAGAAACTTCCCAGCTTGCCGGCCATGCTCACTCTTTAATAAATTTGCCCTCTCCTTAGCAGACACATGGTCTTTAACTGAGGTTCAAAAGTTCACTCACCAAAATTATTTGCCTTTGTGTGCTTCAAGGGCTCCTACGTGGATGAAGATGTTTGACACCATTAAACCACGCAGACTGTGCTGTGTGTCTCTGTGATCTGAATATGTTTACGTAACACAGTAAATGTTACTTAATTTTTTCTAACATTTAAAGCTGAACAGAAATGTACTACACAACTCTTGATTGTGTACACGGTAACGTGTTACGTGAAGAATGAGAAATTAAGTTCCTTTGGAGTGCAGCTCTGTGATGCTGTGCCTTTGGAGTAGAAGCATCTCCCAACCTTCTCCTGCCATCCCACCCTACCTTTTCATTCCTACCCATTCCTACCCTACACACCCACAAGGTCACATTGCTGGCTCATGGTCATCCTGTTGTCCACCAGGACTCCCAGGTCTTTTTTCATAGAGCTGCTCTCCAGCAGATCAACCTCCTACCTGTACTGGTGCGTGGGGTTGTTCCTCCCCAGGCGCAGGACCCTACACTTGCTGAAGGTCCCTTTGGGAGCTACTCCCCCTCGAAGGAGGGTGACTGCTGGTGGTGGTGGTGGTGGTGGTGTTGTTCAACCACCAGCAGTCATCCTCTTTCATTACAACCTGAGATGCGAGGAGAAGCTGCTGGCTCCACATCCACGCCAGCAGAGCCCACTGAGGGGGGCAGGTTGCCTACAGGAGAAGTTTGTAGCCATCACCAGTGACAAACGAGCAGCCTGGTGCTGGTTGGAATGGAAGGGAAAGAGCTGGCTCCAGAAGAGACAGCTTCGTGTTCAGGGAAATGATTCACGCGGCGGCGGCTGCGCGTTCGTAAGTGGCTGTTGAAATGTGTTGCTGGTAGGATTAGGAGATAAGTCGAGGTTTTCAAGTGCTGATGAGAACGTTAAGAGTATCCTCTCTGGACACTTGAGAGCTGGCGAGCAAAGCGCCTGGGATCAGTCAACAGACGAGATATTTCGCATTATCGGCACATCCCTATTTCGGGGGTGAGCTTGTTTCCTACAGTATATTTGTATTCCTTAGGCAAGCTGAGCTGGGTAGTGAAGAAACTCTAACCTTCATTTAGAAAGCTTTTCATTTCAAATAAATGAAAACTTTTTTTGTTTAATTTCACATAATTCTGGTAAAATTTCATAATGCTCTGAAGTCAGGTGGGAAAAAGCATCAAATGGCTATATTGATTCAGCTTCCCTTGACTGACTGGCTCCTGGCCATCCGGCCAGCTGAAGTGCTAATTACATGAATTTTTAAAAGTTCCATCTGTGCTGAAAGTTTAACTTCTTCCTTTGCCACGCTCTACGTTGGTGTTGGGTTTTTCAACCAAAATGGGGAGGAAGAAACATTGTGGAACAAGAAGCCTATTGTGCATTTTAAGTCAGTGATTTTGTATTGCTTTCTTAGAAAGATCCACAAATGCCAGGAAAGCGAGCTGAATTCCCATTTTTTTGTTGTTTCCATGGTTGCACTCCAAAAGTTCATTTTTGGAGTTCCTGCATTAGCAAGGCTTAGCCCTCCTATATGCAAGCTCTTATACTTTTCCGTGGTTTTATGTACAAACACATACTTGTGTCAACTGAGAGAGATTTTAAATGAGTAATTTTCACTGCCAGGTGAGCCCAGTGCTTTTCACAAAGCCAAGTGAACACCAGTTGTACTGTTAGGATTTAATTTGCAACGTCATTATTTTCTAGTTTAAAAGCAAAGTGAACTTCCCAAGCAAAAAAAAAAAATGTTTGTTCTTCTGGAGTAAGCGTGGACTTTGCTTCCCTGGATTACAACAAGCACCTGTTTTGTCAGTAATATACGTGATTTATCATGCAACATTGCATGTCCTATTGCAACAACAGGGGAGATTACCAGCTCTTCCTGCCAAAGTTTGGAAAAAAAAAGACATTTTTTTAAAGGTATGGCCTTCTGAGCACACAAACACACAAATACTTATGAATGAAAGAAGAATAAAATAGATGATAAGAGGAGGCTTGTATTGTTAAAAGTGTGCCCGTCCCTAAATAATCCAGGCTCAGAACATAATTGTTCCAGTTTAGGAGGAACTCTCTCCTGAGTTTGGAGGTTGGCTCAGCTGGACACCGTGAAGGATATTCCACAGTAGGAAAAACCAGGCTCTGGGGGTGAGACGAGATGTTGGGTGTCTTTGTGATACGAAAATCAGACACCGGAGGAGGCGAGCACACTTGCCCTCTAAATCATTCAATATCCAGTGTTAGCGTGGGGACTAATTGTAAAAAAAAAAGTATTTTATAAACAAATCAATGTCTATCCTTGTGGCCTGTGTAGTCTAGAGGCTGTAGAGGGGGGTGGGAGCTTGGCGGGGTGACGTTCAGGGACAATTCTGGCACCCTGTGCAGAGCTCCCTGCTTTCTGGGGGCTTATCACAAGCTGCCCAGAGCTGTATGAGGTTTTTTTTGGACTGATCAGGCCTCTGCCAGCAGCGCTGAAAGCGACAGGAATTGGGTCAGATTTTGAGACTTCTGCAGCTTCAAGCCAGCCACGTACAAAAGCGGAGGACAGATGCTGGAGCATCTGCTGTAGGTCACTGGCAGAGGAAGATCACAAACCCTGTCATCGTTTGATCTGATTCGTTATGACAGTCCTTAAGTAGCTGTTCCCCAAGAAGAAAGACAGAAGATTAAGGCTGGTATGAAGTGATCTAATTGAAAGGCAAGCTTCAAAAGCCAGGGAAGCTTAGGGAGGAGGCGTGGGGAGGGAAGGGACTAACGGTCTGAAGATCTTCTCCACCTGCTCTTGCTGCTGATGAGGGGAAGGAGCGATGTCTTGTTTGCTGCCATCTTTCCTTCACTCCTATTTGGAGGGTGTAGCGAGGTGGGAGTCTGTCTCTTCTCACAGGTAACAAGTAATAGGACAAGAGGAAACGGCTTCTAGTTGTGCCAGAGGAGGTTTAAGGTGGATATTAGGAAAAATTTCTTCACTGCAAGGTTCATCAAGCCTTGGAACAGGCTGCCCAGGGAAGTGGTGGAGTTGCCATCCCTGGAGGTATTTAAAAGACATGTAGATGTGGTGCTGAGGGACATGGGTTGGTGGTGGGCTTGGCAATGCTGGGTTAATGGTTGGCCTTGATCTTAAAGGTCTTTGCCAATCAAAAAGATTCTATGATTCTATTAGAAGAGATACAGAAGTAACTGAAGATAAATCAACTCGCTGCAGAAGGGTTACCTTCAGTCTTCTGAAACCACCCAATACACTGCAGAGTGGATCTCACCCTTGACAAAGCACCTTGCTGGATGTACTGGTGATGGGTTGAGCAGCAGAGAACAGAAAAATATGACAGACATATTCCTTGTTGCTCTTCCCTTGCCTGAGAAGAGTTGTCTGGTTTTGGGTAGTTGGCATGTGGATGGGCAGATTGGGGTCACAGAAATAAGCTGATGGGTGGGATTGCAGAGAAGAGCTTGTAGGACTGAGCTTGTTGAGGGCCAGCATA